ATTAAATTTTCACAATGAAACTTCCACTTTCATCAGGAAGAAACCGGAAGTATTTTCAAAAAGAGCCCAATAATCATAATTATCAAGGATAATTATGATTGTCAAATTAATTAAAACCAATTGAATGTTCAATAGAGATTAGTTCTTCCTCAATGTATTATGTTGCTATGCAATATTTATAAATATAGTTTATGTTATTTGAGGGAATTAAACGATGATAACTACAATTGACGTAAATATTATTGATGTAGATCATGTGCAACATGGCAATCATCAATATAGTGGAAATATTATTCCTTATGGAACTAGATATTACAACTATAATAATTTATACATAACAATCTACCCAATGCTTAGTTTATTCAGAATGATCAAGTCAAAACTTGATAAATACTTACTTAATTACGCCTGTTACCCCTCATGGAAGAGCATAAGCCGCAAACCATCATTCCCCATCCAACTCTGTCCTGGGCAATCATTTGAAGTTGTTTCCAGTTAACATTCATCCTTTTCATATCTACTTTTATTTCCCAACTTAATGTGTTCTTCGGCCTTCCTCTTTTACGATTCCATTTCAACATTCCAAGTTACTACTTGCATCGTGATACAGTTTGGTGATTTCCTTAATATATGTCCGATCCACTTCCAACGTCTCTTCCTAATTTCCTCTTCAGTTGGAACCTGCTGGTTTGTCCTCTCCCATAAAACGCTGTTGCTGATAGTATCCTGATAGTATTTTGCGTAAACAACAGTTTATAAATACTTGTAACTTCTTGAAGATGGAATAGTGGTTCTCCACGTTTCAGCTCCGTACAGTAGAACTGACTGTCTTGACGTCTGCATTGAAGATTATCACTTTGAAATTAGTTGATAGTTGTTTTGAGTTTCACATGTTGTTGAATTGTAGGAATGCTGTTCTTGCTTTGTCAATCCTCGCCTTTACATCTTTATCCGATCCTCCTTATTTATCAATGATTCTTCCAAAGTATGTGAATGTTTCTACGTATTCCAGAGTTTCTCCATCAAGTGTGATTGGGTTAGTGTTTTCCGTGTTTTATTTGAGAATCTTGCTTTTTCTTTTGTGTATGTTGATACCTATGGATACAGAGGCTGCTGCTACTTATATATAAACAATCTAAAGCATTTATCTCTATAATCCTTATCCTAACTAAATAAGAATATTAAAAATAAATCTAATTTCTTTTACATATATATTAAAATATATTTTTAAGGTTTAAATAATAAAAAAATTTTTAAAAATTAAATTTTTTTTGTTTGTTTCTACTTAACTAATTAACATTTTCATTGATTATCAGAAGGGGTTTTGTGGAGATTTTAGTAATTTTATAGAGTTGAGATCATAAGTCAATTGAAGCTAGACCACCATGGAATACCGGGAAGCACTGGACGACCGTCTCGTTCTATTATGGGACTCCTCAGCAGTGCACATCCACGATCCCGCACTCGCGAGATTCGAACCCAGGATCTACCAGTCTCGAGCCAGAGCCCTTAACCGATAGACCACTGAGCCGGTATCTGCACAAAACTCCTTCTGATAATGATCATGTGCTCACTAGTGACTGACTCCATGAGTATTTCTTGGAGTTCTAGTGAGAAGCAGTAACCGGTGGAGTTCAACCAGGTCTGCTGTGAGATAGTAACTCACTGATGACATTGGTGAATGGTTGTTCAATTTCGTGAATCAGTTGAAGTTAGACATTAACACCGTTGGATGCCGATCGGCTCAGTGGTTCTAGAGGTTAAGGGCTCTGGCTCGAGACTGGTAGGTCCTGGGTTCGAATCTAGCAAGTGAGGGATCGTGGATGTGCACTGCTAAGGAGTCCCATAATAGGACGATATGGCTTCCAGGTTTTCTATGATGGTTTAACTTCAATTGACTCATGATCTCAACTCTATAAAATTTTCATTGATTGTTTACCAAATCGATTTTTTTTTCTTTTCTTTTGTTTCTTCTCTCCATTAAAAGAAGTTTCTGATTCAATTTCGTTTCTCTCTCTTTATATATATATATATCTGTTTATATAATGTTCATTGTTAATATAAACAGGAAAAGAAAAAAAAAGAAAAATCATTATTATTAAACAAAAAAGAAAAGAGGAAATTATTTTAATTAATTAAATGTAACCAAAATTGATTATTGAAATGATCGTTGTTTATTTTTTTGGTTTCATTTTTAAAAAAAAAGAAAACAATAAAAAAAGGTAAATAAAAAAAACAAAAAAAAAAGATGATTGATTTCATAAAGTAGTTGAATGATATAAGTAAACAATCTTTCTTTCTTTTGTTCTTTAAAGAAAAGATTCAATCAAGTATAATAATAATAAAATTAATTAATTTAATAATTTAAATTTGTCATTTTAATAGTTGAAATCATGAATCAATAATAATTGAAGTTACAGTATCATGGAAAATTCGGAAGCCCTGTTTGATGGTCGTTTAGTTCTATTGTGGGACGACTCCTTAGCATTGATAATAAATTTGTAATAAATTACATAGCATCTTTGCTTTACTTTTGTTCAGAAAAAAATGTTTGACTGAATTTTGATAGTTAATACATATATATATATATATATCAAATTGATTGCCTTAATATCCTTAGTTCGGGTGTTGATGCAGGCCAGTCCTGGAGAAACAATTTACATTTGCATGAGGAGAAACGCATCTCAAACATCCTGGCATTATTACTGACTTCAAGCTCTGATGCCACGTTTTGGTTTGGCCGCCCCTAACTCTCTTTCACTAATCCCCAGTACTAGTCATCATAGCGCGTCGTGGTAATCGGTGTTCAGGCATACGTAACAAATGGCCTAACCATCTCAGTCGATGAAGATTCATCACCTCATCAACTGATTTACCATCGTTCCCTAATACCCTGCGACTAACTTCACTATTACTTACCCGGTTATCCCAGCAGATGCGAGCAATATTTCTAAGGCATCTGTGGTCAAATACTAGTAACCTACGAGTATCTTCTACTCCTAATGGCCATGTTTCACAGCCGTAAAGTAGAACAGAACGAACTGCTGAACAGTATACTCGTCCCTTAATTGATAGACGGATATCTCGTCTTCGCCATAAGTGACGTAAGTTGGCAAAAGCCAAACGAGCTTTTTGAATCCGTGCTGAGATTTCGTCAGACACCAACCCATTAGGGCTGATCAGACTTCCAAGATACGTGAAGTTGTCGACGCGTTCGACTACTTCACTCCCTATCCTTAGTTCGGGTGTTGACGCAGGCCAGTCCTGGAGTAACAATTTACATTTGGATGGGGAGAAACGCATCCCAAACATCCTGGCATTATTACTGAGTTCCAACAGAAGACTCTGCATTTTGTCAGCGTCTTCACCAAACAGGACTATGTCATCTGCGTATTCTAAGTCGATTAGTGGACCTGCTGGCAGGAGATCAATTCCTGAAAATTCAGTCGAAGACAGTGTTATTTCCAGCAACAGGTCTATAATGAAGTTAAACAAAAATGGGGGTAGTGAACAGCCTTGACGGACACCACTTGAGGTTGTAAAATCATATGACAGTTTGCCATAAACTCCCACTCGACTGGTAGTGTTCGAGTAAAGAGCCTTCACAAGGTTTATGTACTTCTAAGGTACACCTTTCAATGACAAACACTGCCACAGAACCTCTCGGTCTACAGAGTCAAATGCTGCTTTCAAGTCAAGAAAAACTATCATTGTTGGACGCTGATAAACATGTCTGTGCTCTAAAACCTGAAGAATAATGAATGTGGTCGATGCAGCCACGACCAGGTCTGAAGCCAGCCTGATTTTCTCGTGTCTGCAGTTCACGAGTCTTAGTTAGGCGCCCGATAATTATTGAGGCTAGTATTTTAGATGCTATGTTAGTCAGACTAATCCCTCTATGGTTATCACAGGATGATTTTGGCCCCTTCTTATATATTGGGACAATAAGTGATTGTGACCAGTCGGATGGGATTGCATTCAACTCCCAGATTTTAGCCAGAATATTAGTCAACCTAGTCGCTAAAATTAGAACACTATATTTAAAGACCTCTGGAGCCAATCCATCTGGACCAGCTGCTCTACCTCATTTCAGATTACTTATAGCCTTTTTAACTTCAGCTAGGGTCGGGGGCCTACTTCAATGTTCCATTCAGACTGTCTGGAAATAGTGGGTAGTTGTGCAGTTGCTGAAGGCCAGTTAAACTGCTCCTTAAAGTGTTTCGCCCATCTTTCTAAACGTTTGGGTTGAGAGCAGATAAGGGTTCCGTCTTTTTCCGAGATTGTCTCACTTACACTTGACTTCTTAATTCCGGTTTCTTTTATTAGTCTGAATAGTTGCCTGGTGTTGCCTACAGCCGCTGCCTTTTTCATCTCTTTTGCTTTCGTTGACCACCACTGCTCACGATCGTTCCTTAGACTTTTAGTTAACCTAGATCTAATTTGTTTACGCTCTTCGTCGTGTTCAGAGCCTGATGGGATGAGTTTACGCGAATCCATCAGTGAAATAGACTTAGAAGAAATTCACTTGTTTTTTGGAGCCTTATGGTTTAAATGACTAATAGATGTTACTGCTGTTTCCACAGCTGTTCGTATGTCTTTCCAAGCAGCATCTGGGTCAGTCTTGTCCACAGAACTGCCTAGATGTGAACTCAGTGATTAGTCAATATCATATATTATACGGAATCCTAATATCATATTTTATACGTTTATTAACTAGTTGTTCAAGGCTCAAGTGAAGTAGTTAATCATTACTACTTAGACTTTAATGCTTTATTAACTTATATCATTTAATACTGATAATGATGTTAAGAATGAATAAAAAAAATTACCAGAAAAATTGCCTAAAGTTATATTCATTTCATTTTTATTTTTGAGAAATTTAAATATCATATGAAACGGTTACTATTATGTAATGATATTCAAAATGGAAATGAATTTGAGGAAACCGTTTTGTACTAGATAGAAAACTCCTTAATAATATACACAGTAACAATTGAAAATCAAACTGAAAACATTTGAGTTGAGTGTACTTCATGGACCAAAATATTACTCAAAACTGTATCACTTCCACCGACAATGGAGAATCCAAGACCTCCGTCAGTCTTGTACAGAGTAACTGTAGCAGGAATCCCAGGTATAATGGGTAATTTATGTTTCATATCATTGTCTGGATTATCCACTGTTGTAGTTACATGTCCAATTTGTTGAATTTGTCGTGAGTCACTGTGATAAGGTATTTGTCTACCGATGGTTAGACGTACAGATTTTCTTGATTTTTGCAACAATTCCAGTGTACTTTCATAATCACATTGAAGTTGACCATCAATAGCTAGTATACGATCATGAGGTCTAAGAACTCCTTGTTGTGATGCTGGGCTGTTTGGACGGATTTCGCTAACGAACACACCAGGTTCATTGTTTGGACTCAAATTAACGATGAAAATACCAAAACCGTCTGAACCTCTCTCCAAGATAATGTCGAATAGTTGAAATTTCCAAAAATCTTCATTTAATTCAACCATGATCTCTTTTAGAAATGCATGTGGGATCGGCTTTGAGCCAGTTGGTAATTGATTAAGTGCTGATGATGATAACGCTTTTGAACAGGTACTACTAGTCAAATTATTTACACTTAACGGTGAATCATTGCACTCCGGTGAAAATGACATTAATGACAAATTTTTTTGGATTTCGTCTTATGATTAGTGTAATGAAAGATTTGATAATTGATTGACCTGAATCGCCTACTTTTCCATCGTCATCATTATCAATAAAAGAATCAAAGATCAGTAATTTTCTTTACTCTAAGGTTATAATAATGATTCCATTTTATTGTCAGTTCCTAATATTTAACACTTAATGAACTGTTCTTTTAAAAATTAATAAGATTTAACTTCATTCTATTTATTACGCACTACATTCGCTTAATAAAGCATGATCATGGACGAGATCAGACGATTAGTAGAGAAATAATATACTTCTTAAAATCAAAGATGGATAGTGTCTAGCAGTGGAATTCAGGACGCGTGTTTCATCCTGTTTGGATGTATCTGCATCCCAGAGTTGATGTTTACTGTCGGACGAAACGCGCATCCTGGATTCCACTGCTAGTCACTATCCACCTTTGCTCATAATGCTAGCAAATTAAAACAATATCGAGGCAGTACGCACAGTATGCACATATGCCAATAAGAGATTGACCAATTCCAGTGCTAAACACAAATGGTAAGATTTAAATAAACAATACCAATTGAATGTTTACTTCTTCAAAGATTTTACTCCTTTTCACAGACAAACATTATAGAAACTATGGTTATCAAGATAATAAGATTGTGGAAAATGTCTAAATTAAAATCAGTACAGTATAATAAATAAATTTGTGTCATGAATTAAACTTTTTGTATTCATATATGTTATTCAGTAATCTTAAGATATCACTCCTATCAAGAAATCATAATATTCAAGAATAAACGTATGCGGAACTATTGGTGTGCATTAAGGATAGGCTTAAAATTATAACAAACAAACTTTTTGCTATCCACTAAAGTTCAGTGATTTCTTCCAGTATATACCCGTTTGTAATGATTAGTAACTTTCAAAAGTCAATGGTATCTAAAAACAATTCAGTGTCAGGTCCTTCTTAATGCCGATTGAATCCTATCATACATGACATTGATCACCACCCAGTGATTAACCACTTGTAAATACATCTCAGTCCTACAGTAGGTCAGTCACGGCCCGGACAGCTGACTATAAAGCTGGGTTACAAGTACACCTTGCTGATGAGTGCCAAGTAGCACGAAACCCGGGTTCAGGGTTACCAGTTGACCACCTCTAACCACCATCTATCCTCTTCTAATTAATTTGTTAATACAATGTATCATTACAATTTGAAAATTCGCCAATCTACAATCGTTAAATCACTTTCTTATCTACAAATCGTCTTACTTGATTATAATTATTGCATGGAAAATCCCTTATTAAGACAAAGATAATCATGTCTATTTCTTTGTTTTTAGGCCAATATTTTAAGTTACAATATCACTAATCAACAACAGAGAGAGGATCGAAAACAGTTTAGGACTGCAACTGGTCAGTCTCTTATTGACATATGTGCATACTGTGCGTATTGCCTCGATATTTCCATAATTCACAAGCCTTATAAGCAAAGATGAGATACAGGTACATCCAGCTGACGAGTCGCAAATAAGACGAAACGCGCGTCCTGGATTCCACTTCTAGCTACTATCCATCTTTGCTTATAAGAATTGTTATTAATTTGTACATGGTTTTTCGGAAAATTATTTCGTAGTTTTGTAGTTTACATCACAAATTAATCTTAGTTTAATGATCTTTGGATACAAGAAAGCACTGAACAGATGTTTCATCCAGTTTCAAATAACTCGATTTATGATTTGATGTAGATAACTGATTCTCACTTGACATAAATGACTTCTAGTGGTTATGGTATCTCACTAGAACTACAGAAATTTCATTTTTCATGCTAGACATTCACAACTTACTGGTTATTATTAGTATAGGAAGAAATACAGATATGTATTGCTGAAAATTCCGTTTTTAGATTAGGTTAAAGTCTCATGAATAGCTCTTGTAATATTCAACCTTATGGCCCATAGTTAACTTAGAATTTAGGTTCTCAGATGTAAATAATTTACTCTTACCAACTTGGAGTTTTAATATATGTATGCGCTATTAGTTTAGGTGATAATACAACACCATGAAATATAAAAAATGATCATTCTTCTTTAAATTTGACTTATGGACGTTTGAATCTTCCAGTTGTTTATATTATGGACAACAGTTGATCCATTTCTTTTAGCATATGAATATCGTGTATTGCGCATTATGTTACAAGTATTTTTAATCAAACTTTTGAAGGAACTGAATAATTTCAATCCATAACGTCAACAATGGGAAGATCCGAATTCTTATTAAATGTAATTCAATTACCCCCCCCACGTCGCACAAACTAGTGACTGTCTAGACTTGGCGACTCATTAGATAACGCATCGAGCGCATAAAGTGAATGATAGTGGGTTTTAGTACTAGTGTAAACACCAGGAGTAGGATGCAGATACATTCGGCTGAAGAGCCCCCATAGGATGAAACATGAATTATGAATTCCACTGTCGACCTTTATCAAAACTACAATTTACTTAATATCGCAAGCTATGACTTATAAAATTTCATCTAGCGAATTGTAACGACATGGGACAATTCAATGAAAAATTTGTCAGGAGTTTTAAAACCGTAGTTGACATTTCAATTGATTCATATATTTTCTTGTTTCCTTTGTGTTAGTTGAGGTATTTGGCACAATCTTGAGATACACTACAAACTGACTATCGTTGTAGATTCACTAAATTTCATAGAGCACTGGATTTCTGTCTTACTTTAATCCACAGTAGTTCTTATCATTCATAGCGTTAGGAACCATAGATAAACGTCTTATTTGATAGCAAGTATGTTAACTTTCACACTATTGGTAGGTTTCAAAATAACCACTGACGGATTATTATATTTGTCACTTTCAACTATCAATGAAAACATCTAATTGTAAAGTTACTCATTTACTATGTTTACCATTCACCTGTCTATTTGCGTCCCCATTTAAAAATCAATCATTCTTTACTCTATTAATATAATCAACCATCTTTGATATCATTACTTTTCCATATTACCCTACTTAGGTAAAACAATAGAATCATTCAGTGTAAAAATAGATTTATGTAAGTAGAAAGACTATTTAGAAAATAAAATTTTTGGATTCTAAAATTGTGAATATAACTAAAAGGCAACAAAAAAGGCTGTTTAAATGTCTCTAACATTCTCTCTAGTTGTTGAAATTCATTTTCCCTTAACTCATGACATAGCCCACCAAGCTAGACCATCATGGGAAACCTGGAATCACTGTTTGACGTCCGTTTGGTCCTCGTCCTCGGCCTTCCAGTGCTTCCAGGTTTTCCATGGTGATCTAGCTTCAATTTACTTATGATCTTAACTATAAAATTACTAAAATCTCCACAAACCCCCCCCCCTCTGATAGTTCACCAAGTTGAGACGTAATCAATGAAATCCGATTAACACTAATAGTGATAGACAAATCCCGTTCTGATACAAATCATTATTAATCTTGGTAAATAGACAAACACAAATTAAAAGCTTATTCATAATACACCCAATATTGAAATATGAATTATATAGGTCAATGATATATTCACTTGACCTAAGTAACATTTATAAGCTGTTTAAACATAACTTATGAAATGCAATAAACAGTAATACAAGTGCCATAATTTACGCTTGTTAATGTTTAAAACGGGTTAGATAGAAGCATAATATTTGGATAGGCGTTGTTAATGAATCAGGAATGTTTTATGATTCAATAAATGTAAAACTATTACACGATAAGCAATGATGGATAGTGGCTAGCAGTGGAATCCAGGACGCGCGTTTCGTCCTATTTGGGACTCGTCGGCTGGATGTACCTGCATCTCAGAGTTGATGTTCACTCTGGGACTCGAACCCAGTACCCTCGTTTCAAACGCCATCGCGTTATCAACTCGGCCACTGAGTCCTGATAGTCACTTGCTTGTGAGCTGGGGTGAGGTTGAAATTCACTTAGTATTGTTTGTTTGAATCATCCCATCGATGTGTTAGGACTGCAACTGGTCAGTCTCTAATTGGCATATGTGCATACTGTGCATATTTCCTCGATATAGCCTTGATTCACAAGCATGATAAGCAAAAATGGATGCCAATTAGAGACTGACCAGTTGCAGTCCTAACATATCGATGGGAAGATTCAAACAAACAATACTAAGTGAATTTATTACACGGTAAATTTCACAATGATTAATGTAAAAACATTTTGATTCACATTCCTGTTGAAAGTTATTCAGGTTGATTCAATAGCTGAAAAAGTAATTTTAACCTTGAACCCACTTTATCTTGAATATCTTTGGAACCAGATAGCAGTGAGAAGATATCATCCACATTTCAAAATTAAGATTTCATTGGGTCTAACATGGAAATGCAATTTCCTCTTTACCTATTCTACATTTACATCTTAAAGTTAACGGCATATTTTCAGAATTTCATTAACTCAAAAAAATATAAAAATGATTTAATTCAATAGTATGGATTGAATTATCTCGTTGTTGATATTTGGACTGAAATTGGATCAGTCTTGGTTGCAATATGAGCATCCTGTATAGATTACCTCGATATAGCCATTATGATACATGTTCATATAGAATAGATGGAATATATGCAAAGAGGATTGGTCGAATTTCAGTCAGAAATATCAACAATGGTAATCCAAACCATTTCATTGAATTAAATCTTACACCCGTTACATAAGTGAGAGGCTATCTGAACTCATTATTTAAGTGAATAATGCAACGAAGTTACAGATGAACGTTACCGGGTTCAAGATCTGGAGTGAACACTTAATTCGGGACCCAGGTTAATGCAGATGATGAGTCCCAAGCAGGAGGAAACGTACGTCTTAGATTTCACTGCTAACCATGTTCTATCTGTTCTTCATAAAAATGATTATTTTTAGTAACTGAAATATTTTTGGTAATATAAAGTAAACTAGATTCTCTTACATAAATAGTTCACAGTTTACGTTGAGTCTTTTATAAGAACTTCTGTCTAAAGTTTGAACGGATAATGGGTGCTGAAGTGGTGGAAGACATAAAAAAGTAATGTAATTCATGGTTTCAGTGATTGATTTAAAAAGTAACTCTATGCT